CAGCCACCACTGGGTGGAGGAAATGCAGAAAGTCAATACATGCACTTGCACACACACACATGTTTGACTGTTGTGCACTGCATTAGGCTGATTTCTTGTGGTCTATAGTTTCTTTCCATTCTGCAAAGGTTACTAAGTGAAACTTCAGCAGAGTAAACCAAAACTATAAAGTTCAGAACTTGGAAAAACTAGCCTTATGATTGTGTCAGTTAAGTCCAACATAATGGATTGTGGAAAAATGCAGGAAAGGACAAGAAGAATAAGCTGTGTTTGGTTTACAGAGACAAGGATCTTCAGGCAATCATTTCGAAGCCATTACAGGTTTCATTCTGAATTCAGGATGATGTTGAATGATGCTGGATTCTATTACCATTTATATACTTGTCAGAACAACCTACCTTCTATAATAATTTAAATAGCTGATAACTTATGATAAGAATCACAAAAGTTTTATTAAAACCAATAATAGAGAATTCTGGTATGGGGAAAAATGGTAAGTCATTTATTGAAGGGAAGAGATGGAAGAGTAACATTCTTGTCAACATCTGGAGTAGCTGAAAGAGTGCAATCTATTTTTATTATGAAGAAAAATCACTGCAGTAATGATACCAAGGTTTCTCACGAACATAAGCTAACAACTTATTGCAGAAATTAGATTATAGTTGCAATATAACATTTTCTTCTAAAGGAAATAAAACTCATTCTTTGGGACATAATATTCTCTAATCAGATTAAGATTAGGGTTTCTATGTCATTGAATATTTATTAAAGTGAAGTTAATTAATTAATTTAAAAAAAAATTAATATCAATTTTTCCAGGGCATTTGCATCATTTGAGCAAATTTTTACAAATTTTAAATGAAAACAATTCCATTAAAAAGTCTGAAGGGAGATCCTGCACTTTCACAAATAGCTTTCACAGGGGAACATAATCAGTTACAAAACAACAAGTAACCAAAGTAGTACCGTAGTGCCATGCCTTCTAGCTACACTTCCAACAGGAATAATTTTTCTGACATTTCGCCCCTTTTACGTATATGCACATTTGAAAAAGATTTCATATGTATGTGTATGTATGTATATCTATCTATCTATCTATCTATCTATCTATCTATCTATCTATCTAT